AGCACCATTCCAATTCCAATATCCTTCCAGAACATTCCAGCACCATTCAAATCCCAGCATCATTCCAGAACATTCCAGCACCATTCCAATTCCAACATCATTCCAGACCATTCCAGCATCCTTCCAGAACATTCCAGCACCATTCCAATCCCAGCATCATTCCAGACCATTCCAGCACCATTCCAATCCCAGCATCATTCCAGAACATTCCAGTACCATTCCAGACCATTTCCAGCATCCTTCCAGCATCCTTTCATTTCCAGCATCCTTTCATTTCCAGCGCCATTCTAGACCACTCCTACATTCTCCCAACTCCAGCATCTTTACACCTTATTTCCAACACCCTTCCATCCATTTCCAGCATTCTTCCAGACCATTCCACCATCATTCCAATTCCAGCACCCTTCCAGACAATTCTAGCGTTGTTCTAGCCCATTCCATCCCATTCCAGCCTCCTTCCAGCCCTTTCCAGCATTCTTCCAATTCCAGCATCTTCCGCCTTATTTCCAGCATCCTTCCAACCTATTTCAAGCCTCATTCCAGACCATTTCCAGCATCCACCCTCCATCAGTTCCCACTGCCAACTTTTCCCCTCCTTTTTGGAGGCACCACGCCCCAGGATGAGACCCCTGGACCAGAGCAGGACCCCATGGTGGCTCCTTTAAATGTCCCTTCCAACCTAAACTCTAATTCTGGGATGCTCCTTCCCAAACTCTCCCAGGGCTGCTGTGCTGACTCCACTCCCTCCTGTGGCAGGGACACAAATCCATTTATCCCTTTCTTGGATACACAAAATTGATATCCCTAAACCAGATTGAGATCTCCCAGTGTGACTCTGATGATGGTGATGGAAACAAAGATGAAGAAGAGGAGTTTATCCCAGTACCTTCTCCGTGCAGAAATCCACACATTTATCCACGGACATGTTGAGCATGAGCTGGCTGGCGGGCAGGGCGATGGAGACGTTTTCCGGCCGGCGGAAGCATCCCCGGAATATCGCGCTTCCATCTGGGAGAGAGAGACAGAGAGAGGCCCCAGTGACACTCCAAAAATGCCACTGCTGCCACTCTGTGTGACACGGCATTCCCAACTGCTCCAGCGGCTCCAGCAGTGCAGCCACAACCAGAGCAAAACACTGGTAACAAAATCAGGGATAATTTTTTTCCTGGCTGTTTTTATCAGCTCCATGATCCCAGGGATGGAGCAGGGCCAGGTTTGGTCAGGTCTGGAATCCCATCCCTGGTCTTTGGAACCCTCAGCCCCTTGTGCATTCCTGGTTGTTGCCATCCCCTTTCCCATTCCTTAGATATGAGGAAAGGTGAGCAGAGAATGTGGGTAATTATAGAGCTGCCTAATTGGGAGCCAAACGAGGGAGCACTCTCAGCTCTGCCTGGAATTCCCACACATCCTTCATCCTGCAGCACACGCGGGAGACACTGACGGTCCTGTTTGGCCATGGGGAAAGAAACCTCCACCCAAAGTCACCCAAAATTCCCTGAATCCCAGCAGGAATCCTTGGGGCTCCTTATTCCACCCAACCCCAGCCAGCAGCATCCCCACAAGGAGACTCCTGATGTTTGCAGCAGCAAAACCACCCTGGACTCAAGAACCACTCTCCAAAAACCTCCACGGAGCCACAACCTGGCTTGGGAATGCCAGGACCACCCCTCCAGCACCAAGATAAGCGCCCCCCATCCCAGAGCTGAGCTGGGGCCAGCCCCCAACTTACACCTGCGTGCGGACTCCTGGGCCAGCTCCAGGCGGTAGATGGAGAGCCGGTTGATGCCGCCGCAGGTGTTGCTCCGCTCCCCCTTGCACTCCATGTTGCACTCGGACTCGCTGGCGTTGGACGCCTGGATCTTGTGCCCGCAGTAGCACTCGGCCCCGAATTCCAGCCCCGCGTACAGGTACCCCCTGCCCGGGGGAAACGGGGTCTCAGCACATCCCCCCCGGCTCCAGGGGGGTTGGAAGGAGCATTGCTGCTTTTCTGGGATCAGCAGTGCATCCCAGGGATTCGTTCTTGGGTTAGTGATCCTTTTAGGGCACTTCCAACTGAAAATATCCTATCCTATCCTATCCTATCCTATCCTATCCTATCCTATCCTATCCTATCCTATCCTATCCTATCCCATCCTTTCCATTATTCCATCCCAATCTGCAATTCTTTCATATCCTATCCTTATCTATCCTTATTCTTTTCTAGTCTGTTCTATCCTATTGCTCCACTCCATGCCATTCCATCCTATCTCATCCTACCTCCTATCCTACCCATATCCTAATCCATTATATAATTTAATTCCATTTCTATCCTATCCTATCCTATCCTATCCTATCCTATCCTATCCTATCCTATCCCATCCCATCCTTTCCATTATTCCATCCCATTCTGCAATTCTGTCCTATCCTATCCTTATTTTTTCTAGTCTATTCTATCCTATTACTCCACTCCATTCCATTCTATCTTATCCTACCTCCTATCCTACCCTATTTTCCTATCATATCCTAATCCATCATATAATATCATATAATTTATTTCCATTTAATCCTATCCTATCCAGGATTGATGGAGCCAGTGCACAGGCATTCATGGAGATGGTGGGAAAGCATTGATGGAGCTGGTGTGCAGGAATTGAGAGGGACAGTGTGCAAGAATTGATGGAGATGGTGGGAAAGGGTTGCCGGAGCTGGTGTGCAGGGGTTGATGGAATGTGCTGGGATTCATGGAGGCCCTGTCCCTGTCCCCACCTCTCGGCACAGTTGTCCTGGCAGCGGAACACCGTCATCTTCTTGTAGTCGAAGAAGGACATCCCGCGCAGGGTCCTCTGCCGGGTGTTGTCCTCGTAGCAGCCGACGTACCGGGCTGGGGACACACAGGGGACAGGGTCACAACCCTCTGAGCCCACCCCTCTTGGTTTATCCTTAAGTAGGGATGTGCAGCAGCATTCCCTGGTTGTTTGGTTTGGAAACTCTGGGTCCAAACCAGGCAGGGACACCTTCCACTATGCCTGTCCATCCTCACAGGAAGGAATTTCTTTCACTGTGCCACTCCAATTCCAAGCTCTGGGATAACACTTCTCACCTCCTCCCTGCTTTCCACACCTCCATGGGGTCCCTGAGCCAGCTCACCCCATCCATGGTGTGCCCCAAGCACAGATCCCCCATTCCCAATTATTCCAGCACAGCACAGACCCCCACCAGTGCTGGGGCCTCCTTCCCAAGCCAGCCTGGAGGCCAAAGAGAAGGAAGATGGAGAGAAATGTCCCAGATAACTCCACCCAGCAGAGCCATCACTCCCAGTTACTCCACACAGCATTCCCACAGGGATGAGCAGGTCCTGGCAGGTCAGAGGGTTCCAGTGGGTGTGGGATGGCTCCAGACACTTGCACGGAGCCAGTGACTGATGTGCATTACCTTCAACCCAGTGCTCCTGACATATGCGTGCTGCCACTTATTGGGAAGCCAGCTGGAATAATTAGGGACAGACAAGGACACAAGAGAAGGGGGAGAGTGGGACTGGCAGTTTGTAGGGAGAGCTGGACCTCTCCAGGAGGAATTCTGGAGCCTGCTGGAAACACAGCTGTGAACAGACACACAGATCCACCCAGTGATTGTCATTTATTTCCCCAAGCATCCCATTTTTCCAGAGCTGGGAATACAGGAATGGCTCCAGCTCCCTGCCTGGGGTGGCTGCTCCCTCCATCCTCATGGAATTTTGCTTGGTTGTGTGTCAGAGGTGGGAATGGCTGGGCTTGTCCAGGAAGGCACCAGAGATGGATGTGGCTGAGGGCTGGGGTCTGTTCCTGCTTCCCTTGGCTTCACTGCCTACAAATCCTCCCTGGATGGAGGCAGGAGATGCCCCTTCCCACAGGGATTTGCATTCCCATGGGGATGAGGCCACACTGCCAGGGAGAGGGAGGAAGAGGAGGAAGAGGGAGCTGCACATCACTCCCTAAATCTGATTTTTGGAGCAGTATTCCCTCTGGAATGGTTTCACGTGGCAACCACCTCGTTAAGCTGTCCCCACTTAATTACCAGCACCATTAAATCCACCTGTTTCTGCCAGATATCCCAGTGCTCCAGAGGAGCAGGGAAGCGAGGGGGGAGCTCTGCCAGCCACACCAGGAACACCGGGCACGTGGGATTTCTCAAGCTGCTGCATTTCTCTCCACACCATCCCTCTCAGGAGCTGCCAAGATGCTCCAAGGGGAAAATTATATTCCTAGAGCAGCTGGGAGCAGATAAACGCAGGAATCCCAAGGCCAGCATCCCATCCCTGCTGGCAGAGCTGGATGAGGTTAATCTTGGAGCACTGGGGACATATGGCCTGGGACATGGGCACTGCTTGGGGTGTTTATAGGGACAGACAGCCTGGCCTCAGGGACCATCTGCTGAGGCTGCACTCAAGTCAGTTTGCATTAAGAGAGACACCAAAACTCCCCAGAGACCCCTCAGAGCGGGGTCATAATGGGGGAACCCCTTCAGCTCCTTTTAGCAGGACAAAATGCCTTGAGCATCACTTCTCCTGGACCAAGCATCATTCCTGGAATGAACAAACCACATCCTACTGGAGGAGGAGGAGGAGCCCTCGATGCCCTGGGAGCAGCCCAGGTTGGGGGGATCAAGCCTGGACCCCTGGGAAAGCCCCAGTTTTCTCTGGGGTTGGGGGTTCCACCCAAATCCCACAGAATGCGCAGCTCTGGCTGCCTTCAGGATAAATAAATGTAATTTTAAAAATCAATGGGAATTATTTTCCATTTTCTCATCCTTGATCATTAATAATGGACCCACTTGACAAGACCCCAGCCAAGCAGGGATCTCCTGGCTCCAGAGACCACAGCCCAGCCCTGTCTGCACTTCCATGGGAATCACAGCCAGCCCCTGCCTCGACACAACACCCACACGAACCTGGATTTTGGGTTGATTCAGGCCAACAGAATGAAAACTGAATTTGCAGAGCCCCTGGCAGAGCCAAAGAGTGGGAGGAAGATGGGGCACAGCTGCCACCCCCAAAATCACCTGTAACAACAAGGGGGCTCAGAGCTTGGTGATGCACCAGGGGGAAAGAGTGAAGATGGAAAAATAAAAGCACATTATTGACACTTGGGGAGGAAGGAGAGGAAAGAGGGAAGAAGGAGGGAGAAGACCCTTCTGGAAATATTCTCTGGACTGATGTTCTCCAGAACGGGGTGCTGCTCCCCAGAGCATCCCTGTGGGATGGGGGAAGAAAACCTTGGCGCTCCAGTAGCGCATGCATGTCGTTTATGGATTAATAAATAAATAAATAAATATACATTTCCTGGGGGGGATTGTGGTCCTGCCTAGCTCAGACACCACTTCCCCTACTCGTGATGCCCCCATGGAGAGGCAAAAAGCAGGGACACCCCTTTGTCACACGTCCCCTTCCCTCACCTCTGTCCTCCTCCTTCTCGCGGCCGCTCCTGCCCCGCACCGCCCGGCTCCGGGTGCCGCCGTTATCCCGGGATTTCCCCCTGTCCGACGGCT